AAAAAAAGGGCTGGGGGTGTAGCTCAGTGGTAAAGTGCCTCTGGGTTAAATTTCCAAAGCACCACCCCTTGCCCTGCCAAACCAAAACCCAAACCAAAACAACCCCCCAAAAAACAAATCCCCAGAAATAACCCATTCATAAATGAGTGAATGAACTGAACAGATCCTTCTCAAATGAAGACACACAAATGGCCAACAATTGTATGAAAAAAATGTTCAAGATCTTTAGTTGTCTGAGAAATGCAAATCAAAACCACAGGGAGATTTCATCTCACTCCCGTTGAATAGCAGTCATCAAGAATACAAATAAGAATAAAGATGGCAAGCGTACAGGGGAAAAGACTCTCTCATAAGTGATGATAGGACTGTCCATTAGTACAAGCACCATGGAAATCAATGTTGAAGTTGCTTTGAAGACTAGGAATGGAACCACCATATGACCCARTTCTTCCACTCCTCAGTATTTTATCCGAAAGAATCAAAGTCAGGATATTAGAGTGACATATGCATACCCAGGTTTATTACAGCACAATTCACAATAGCTATGTTATGGAACCAGCCTGGATGTCAGTCAATAGATGAATGGATAAAGAAAATGTGGTCTATTACAACGTCATGTTTACTCAGCCGTAGAGAAGAACTAAGTTCTATCATTTGCAGGAAAATGGGTGGAACTTGCGAGCACAATGTTAAGTGAGATAAGTGAGACTCAGAAGGGAATGGGTTGTGTTTTCTCACATATGTGGAAACTAGAGAGGRAGAGAGGGGTGAAGACTGAACGGAAGCCATTAGGATATAAGAAGGGGACTGGGAGGGAGGAGGAGCAGGAAAGAGGACATACTTGGGAGGAATATCAACCATGTTATATGCACATAGGAATGAGTCACAACTAAGTCCACCATTGTGTATAATTAATATGAACCAATAAATAACAATTTTTAAAAAGAACGATGCTGCCTCATCCCCTCTCACTCTTCCCTCACTCCCCTTTAAAGAGAAGGAGGTGCGTTTACTTTATTTTATGATTTCAGACCCAGRGATCCCACCCAGGACTAGGCATGTGCTCCACCACTGAGCTACGTCCCCGTCCTGGGAGGACCCCTTAAAACAGAGAGGTAGAGAGTGGGCCCAGGCCAACACGGGGTGCAGGGATGGAAACCYTTACTCTCATATTTGGCAAATATGGACTGACCACACCAGAAGCCACTTGGGTGAAGGCTCACAGCAAAGGAGAGATAGACTGGAGCAGAGYGGCCAGAGAAACCTGGAGCCATCTTATGGTTTGAATGTTCCCGCCCAAGTTCGTGCTGATATTTGTTGCCACCTTGACAGTCTTAAGAGATTGCAGCTTTTGGATCTATACGAAGCAGCATATAGAACGCATCCGTAGCAATCTTAGAGATACTTGAAACTTTGGATACTGCTGAACCCTGTAGACACTTTGATTTACAAATATTTGTATTGAAGTTTAATTAGCAAGTTAGGCTCAGTAGGAGATTGACAAAAGTAGCATATAGAAAAACATAACATGATTATAATAATAGACTGTAATGAAAGTTATGAGTATGGCCTTTCTCTCAAAATATCCCACTGTACTGTGCTCACCCTTCTTGTGATGTGAGATGGTGCTGCGGCCAGGGGATGAGAGGAGGCGAGGTAAAGGACATAGAAATTGTGATGTAAGCTCAGGCTACTGATGAGCTGATGATGTGCAGGTTGTGACAGCACAGAAACGCACACCAGCACCTTCACGAAGAAAATGGCCTTCACGTGTAGGAAACATCCCTTGGCATATCAAAAGCACCCCAGCACACACACAGTGGCAAGCAGGCATGGACAAGTGCAGGCCAGTATAAACAAGCAGACAAATCTTGTGGACAGCTACACGCTCAACCACACACACCTACAG